GGCGTCGAAAGTACTCGTCCACATTACTGTCACTAAAAAACATGTTGCTACCTATAAAAACTGCCGTTTTATTTCACCCACAGACCACCAAACTTCTTTGTTTAGTTTCGCTACGATCAACAATATAAATTAAGTCTTCAACAAGAAACCCCGCCAGACAGACGCCATAAGCTAAGACGCCTATTTTCGCATATAAACATTACAACTACGTATATATAATTACTAGCGGACCCAACAGACGTTATCCTGCATATCCACTTGAATGTATAAACAAAAATTCATTCAAATTAGTTCAGCTGTTTCGGATAAATAACCTAAACATCGACTGCAGCGCCATCTGCGGGGTGATTTGTGAATTTAAACCATTCCCAGATCCCTTGAACACACATAAAAAATTTCATCAAAATCGGTCCAGTCGTTTGAGAGAAGTTCAGTGACATACACACTCACAGAAGAATTATATATATAAAGATCACATGCTCCGTTGTGTACCCTAATAACAATCAACTTATAGCAAAAGGCTGAAGTATTGTAGGTCTAATCGGCCGTAGATATGACTTTAGTTTAGGTATACGTGTTATTGCATATTATACGGGTAAGCACGTTGAAAATATAGGGCATAGTCTCTTGAAGCAACGATCGTGGCACCTGGCTACGCTAGACGTACACACACATTGACACGGAAGGACATCTGTCGCGTGACATGGCCCATCATTATATAAACACCCTTATTTTGAGGAATCCTCCTCAAAAACCAGATAAATATATTTAGTATTTTGAACTGAATCACCTAAATAATAAGGATAATAACTCTTTATCGCGTAAAACTCAGTATTGTAATGTAAGAATTTAACCAACAATTTGTGGAACAATCATAATACCCAATCATCATCATCAACAACCTATAAATGCCCACTGCTGAGCAAAGCCTCTTCTCACACAGAGAAGGTTTGAGCATTAATCACCACGCTTGCTCAATGCTAGTGGCCGATGTCAAACTTATAATTAGAAATTATAAGCCCAGGTTTCCTCACGATGTTGTCCTTCACTGTTTGTCAGTGGTGTCTAGATAATCTTAGAAAGTACCTACATATAACTCGGAAAAAGTCATATTAGTACTTGCTATTGGTAGGTTTCGAACAGGCACCCTCATGCATGAGAAGCGGGCCTCTTAAACCTTCGAGCCACCACAACACAAAATACCCAAAATAGCCTTATCCCTAATTACGTAATAATCGCAATTTATTTGTTTGCCTGGCAAGCATGCAATCATAGAATGTATACAATCAGACTAGGCCGCCTGGCGTCTCCAAATTAACGTCTGGCATACCTAATATAGATGTCAAATTGATACATTATACACAACCTTTGTTAATGGAGCTTTGTATATATTTGTGTGTACATTATAGGTATCTACAGACCACCTAGAAAAGGGATTACCAACAAGATAAACTAAGTAGAACTGTTAACAAAATTATTAATATTAAATGAATTAAGATTCATTGAAATATACAGCTTACTTATATGAACTGTTCGAAAACAGTACTATTAGTTTCAGGCACAGTGACTTTAATATGAGTCCATGACGCTTGAAACTAGTCGAGATTTTCTCAAAAAGTTCACATGAATAGGTCAAACTAATTTAGTATGTTTTACAATATTCAAATAAGTAATATAGAATCAAGGTTATACTAAACTAAACAATAGCAGCTAAGTATTCTGAACTGACGTTTGTCCATCTGTCCATCAGTCTATAATTTAATATTAAAAGTGACCTACTTCCCGATTCCGTGTACATTTTTTTTTAAAGAAACTTCTACGAACAGATGTATAACAAAACCTAAGTACCTAAACGTGAGTAAAAAATGTAGTCATACAAAAAACATTCACGAATAAAGGCGCGGGCCCACCGCGGTGTACGGAGAGGCTACGCACGTGTATTAAGCTTCGCTCTGGAAGAAAATGTAAGTGGTTGTGTCCACTGCAACCCACGGAGAGGCTACGCATGAATTGACGTCATTGATACATGCATGGCTTGCTTGAAAAGGCGGTTCCATAGCTCAACGCTGTCGACGTGGGTCTACATTTCCACTGGAATACACGAACATGACCCTCGACTATGTATAGTTTTCAGAGTTTTCAGTCAGTATAAGTGTGGGAGAGCCATGCTTCGCCACGAATGGACCGGCTCGACCGGAGTGATACCCCGGCCGAGCAGGCCCAGGTGCACCGTGTCACGCTGTACGTAGTCGTGGTACATATTTGTGGACTCCAGTGGAAACGTAGACGCACGTTGTCAAACAAATTATTACACGCAGCTTAAATTGCGCCGCCTATGTACTTGCATCTTGTCTATCTTGTCTAAGCCTTGAGACAAAAAAGAGATCTGGCAAAGGTTTTAATACGTCAAAGATAACAAACGATTTGTTTTTCAATACCGCTGTCTGTTTTTTTGTAACCTAACCCATACACAGTGGTATTTTATACCTGTGTCTAGAAAAAAAAAACAAATGACGCCGCGAGACATAAACAAAAGAGCTGACATTTTGAAGTCTTTATAAATGCATAGATGACGTAATTTGAGACGAATCGAGTTTTGTTTTCTAATTACAGCAATATTTCCGTGTTAGTTTAAGTAACTGCTTAAATATGTTTAATATATGTAATTGTTGACGTCTAATAAATGAATACAGTACTCTTGTTTTACTCCATTTACGAAAATAAATAAGAAAATACAAAAAAAAACTGATATAGTCCGCTGATTTCTATACGTTGTGATCAATAAATAACTTTTTAATTTTTTTATACCTTCTGTAGTATATTTTTATTGTATTTTAGACATCAAAGAAATGTCTTAAAAAATTATTGTAATTATAACAGTTTAGGTTTTTGATAAAATTTCAATAAGATAATACACAGATACTCAATTTATGGAAAAACGTGACTTCTCTTTATAAAAAATAACAGGACAATTGATTAACAAAACTATACTTAAAAGTCCAAATTAGATCAGTTTCGGTACCTCATCGTTAAACGCCTACAGCTCTCGTTTTTGTACAACCTTGACCAAGCGCTATAGGCACACGTGCTTCGAAACAATGACAACGCGCCGGCGCCGCACACTGGACAATATTTCTCAAATTCAAGACATAATTGCTTTATATTCGATTAACAAAATTATTTTATATACCCAGGAAGGTTATCCACACTATGACACTTTATAATTAGGTATTACAAAATGAAATATCTGTGGCCTGCCAAAAAAATATTTAATTAATTAAACAGGAAAATAGCCAATAGGTACGTTATTTATACTATGAACCATTTATTCATGTTTGAGAGTGAATCCCATCGTTTAAATAATAGTTTTGTGGTTAAATTCAGGCTACTATAAAGAAGTCATTTGTCATAATAAATAGATGCGATGTCACTATATGAAGGTATTGCAACATTATCATTGGTTATAAAAAATAATTATTTATATTCATGTCTTTTACTGTCTTACATAATAATTATAAATAATAGTTCGTCTACACTTATTTATCAATGAGTGTCTGAATCTTCATTAATAAGATTGGGCTTCAAAGAATGTTTAGACTTAACATCTAATCCAGTCACTATGCTTGTCATTTAGTACTCTTTTTTATATTACGCACAAGAGTTTTTTTCATGTGTACATTAAAAGCCGCTAACCGGGGACTGTCCTTGGGTGCATTTCCATAGTGTAGGTATACAGGGATAGTCGCCGGTTTGTGTCCTATTGCATTTAGATTAAAGTTGTCTAAAGGGCCTCTGCTTAGATCACCAGGATACAGAATAACTTGATTGATAGCATATAAAATTAATTCGTAACTGCTTTATTAAGATGGTCGTTATATTTAAATAGATTCCTAATATTTATCTTTATATTTGAGTATGAAAAATAAAAATATAGTACAATAATACGCCACGAATTGCTCAGAACAGTAGGCAAAAAATGCAAGTTTAATTACTATGGAAATTATAAATTTATCACGTTCATTTGCGCATATACCTACCTACGTAACTAACAGGTAAGGTGGTACTTTATAAAAAAATGTTTTCTTAAAAAACAAACAAAAAGAACAAAGTTTATTTTTGTCTATCAGAGTGCGCGAAACAGCACACTGTGCTAAAAGAAACACGTAACCATGCGTGAAAAATATTAAAACAAAAATAAACACTATTGCTGTTTTATAGCGCTTCTAAATCGGATCTGGTGCACGATGATTGAAAAGAAAAAGAAAGATGGCTGCCTAGCTAATGGCTAATGGCTTTTATTTTAAAATTCGGCTTGGGTGAGGCCAGAGTGTTAGACTCTTACTGACTAAAATCCGCGCGTTTAAACTCCAGCATAGAACCGGAGCCCGCTAGGCAGTCCGCAGCTCCAGATAGTCTAACTAGCGTAGCATGGTTACAAAAGACTGGACAAAGCCGGTGGTTCAAACTAATTTAGATCAAGTTCATCCCAAGTTCGATATTAAATAATTGTAATAGTTTAAATAAATAAATATCTACAGAAGGATTAAATTCCAGAAATGATTTTGCGAATAAATAAAAAATAAATACTTATTTTTATCAAAGTTGAAGGTAGAAACATACTACGCAGACGCAAAATTATGGATATCGTATCGATTTCTAAAATTATATTATTTATTTCTAAATTCCTAAATAGGTAATAACTCAAGGTAATTATTTTTAATCGTTCAGTTTTATTAGCATTTGTATAATTATCAAACTACGGAAAACAACACCGGCAAAGAAATATTTGAATGTCGTCTCAAAATGGCCGGTAACCGCCATTTTTTATTAAAAATATACAGGCGTGGTTCGATTTTTAAAATTAGATGATAATCATTATGTGATTACCACATTGCTTTATAATGAAAAAAATTACGAATAAAAAAAATAACAAAAAAGAACCATATTCGAAAAAAAAAACACAATGAAAAATAAAATAAAAAAACAACACTGGTACTCACGTTTTTGGTGATTGCTCGTAAAACAAACACTGATTATTTATTTTTTATTTGAAAATAAAAATTTTTATTGGAATTATTTATTCGAATTAATCACTTGGGAGCGACTGTCTCGCGGGCGGTCTTACTACACACTGGCGCGTCTGACTTGTTGCCTGTGTAACTCGTTCGCGGTGAAGAGTTACTTATCAACAGCTTTGCAATAAAACATTTTTGCAGTAAACAATAACGAGAAAAGTTGCTACTAAATACCGTCAACTGAATTGTATTTATCATGCCTCGATGAGTACCTACGCAGCAAACTAGATCCCTATATTTTCCTAACCAAAGTTTTCTGGTCAAGTCCCTTAACTTCGTGCATAAATTAAACTAGTTTTTAAACCAAAGTGTGTTAAAATATGCCAGTTAACCTACCATTATTAAGACCCTAAATCTAATATACCCTTTTACTGTTAGGTATATCAATTCATAAAATATAAGGCATCAACCTATTGTCATATCGAAAAATAATGTGGATTTGGGTGACAATTATTTGTATTAGTTTCACAGTTATCTTATTATTCTATTGAAATAAATTTATTATAATAGATAAGCCAAAAAGGTATACAAAGAAATCACATTGCAAAAGCGGTGCCCAAAAGGGTTAATAGTTGGAACATATTATTTTGTCAAAAATTGTAAACCACCCTGTACACAATATAGATGCATTAAAGTGATTTAACTCGTCGAGTACTGGTTTTGTAGACACAATTATAGAACAATTTTCTGACTGGATTTAGGTGTTGCATTGTTCTCACATAATCGAACCAATAAAACTATGTAACTAGAGAATTGTATTGTAAACCTGATTGAAAAAGAGTAACCTATGGAGTTTCTTGCTCGTTCTTCTCCATAGGAATCTACGCCTTGGAATGAGCAACTAGCTTCACTTATAAATTTTTGACGTTCAAAAGTGCCATCCTGGTCTAATTGAAATAAATGATTTTGACTTTGACTTTGACTTTGACTTTGAATAGGTTGCGGTCACCGGTGACCGCTTGGTGTTTGACAGTTTAAATTTGAATTTGAAACTATTCTTAATATTTTTTTTTACCTAAATGAAAATAGATGTTACTTAGTATGTTACTGTTATTAAAGGGTTTGATTTTCCAGTGAAAAAAACAGAGGTAGGTATGCATTTTAAAAAGTTTGAAAGTATTTATTTCAATTGACCCATAATTTTGTATTTTTGAAACGTCAACTTATATATGTATAATAGTCTGTCATTCTCTCCGTCAGCTAGGTGCTCGTTCCAAAATGTAGACTCGAATGAAGAAAAACGAGTAAGAAACTCCATTCGTTACTCTGTTAAAAAATATATGTTTTTTTAAACACAGGTAAACTTCTGGAATTTCTGGAATTTCTAGAATTTCTAGAAGTAC